ATAAATAAATAATCAATATTAGGAATATAATACTTTTATACTTAAATAAATGTTTTGTGACGAACTGTCGCGACACAGTTTTATTTTCTTATCTTTGGTCGGCACAAGTTTGTAGCTCCACTTTAATGGGTTCTCTTCCTAGTACCTCTTTACATATATATATAAACTTTTGCTAATTATTTTTCTTCTTTGCTCGGTATCATGAAATTTTTATGAAATTTGCTTTCATAAAACATAAGGAGGATCAAAATTTCTCCTAATTATATCTCTGATCTTGTGCATAGCCTGTTTAAAGGGGTTGAAGATGCATAAAAAATATATATTGGCCATATTTTTTTATAGAAAAAATAATATTAAATAATTATGTAATCTCTTCAAGCTCAATATATACATGATTGTCATATGAAGCAGATCTGCCACCTAAGATTTAGTGGTGGGGCTTAGTAGGAGTAGGGCTACATAAACATCTACTACCTGATAATGCCATATATGTGCTGCTGAGAACACATTCTTTCTATAAAAATGTTAACTCATCAATTAGCAACTACAATATATCACTTTCTTTTTGTATTATGTGGATTAAGAATAATGAGCATGAGAAACATACGAAGTGTTGTCATGCAGGAAAAAATATTAGGTGCGGAGTGCAAACGGGGGAGCACCGTCTGCACACACACAGGGTACCAAGCGGTACCTAGTGGTACCTAGCGGTACCGAATGGTACCTAGCTGGATTTTATACTAGTGTGCGGACGGTTCTCCCCGTCTGCACTCCGCACCTAATAATTTCTCGTCATGCAGACCGTTAGAAGAAGCTTGTAAGGAGTTACGATCACTAGCTAGCATGAATAGGGTGAGGCAGATTTACTAAATATTATAAAAGCATTAATAAATAAGTCAAACATATTATTTATGATTATGAAAAAAAATTCTAGCTAGATATGTGCAATCAAAGTGCTTTCATGTCTCAACGTCTAATGGATAGCTTGATATACATGGCTCATGTACTCTAAGTCATAATGTTTGTGAGTTATATGTAGCAAACAATTAAAATTCTGAGCCTAATTATTAGGATGTTTTACAACGACTTCTCCAAATTAAGGGCCAGCGGTATCAAGTCTTTTCTTCATATCAATTTGCCTCTTCTTCATATGATGGTGCTTAACTAGTTGAAGCATCAATATGAGTATCACATGTATAATGCACTCTCAATATGATGTTAATTTAACTCTATTAAAAAAATAACTTGTTAATCATTTTTGCTCATGCAATAATCTATTATACATCCAAGATCACTCTCTTTGTGTGTTTGTGTGCTATAATTATTGAATAAGTGTGTTAATACTTATATCACATATAAAAAATATATTCTCGAAAGCTTACATTACATTTTAATTTCAATATGTGCATAGATATACATCAAACACCAGAATTATTAGACATGCATGCATATACACATTAAATATAAACATTCATATGCACACACATACATACATTTAGAATGGTGCATACACACACAAACATACATACATATTCACATGTACACAAACATACACACCCATACATCTATACATTCACATGATCACAAACATACACACAAAAATAAATAGTTCATTTAAATAAATTTACAAATTGAAAAACTAAAAATTTTAAATTGATTTGAATAATATAAAATTAAATTTAACCATTCTAAGTTATGTTGGAAATAAGTAAAATTTAAAAGTAAGAACTTTTTAAAATTTAAATTTAACAATATAATTATATTTAACAAATCTAAATCTAATGTATATCCTAAATAGTATGTATCTAATAAAAAATTTATAGATTTGTAAAAAAATTATAAATCTAAACAAAATTTATATATCTACCAAATATTTTTAGATCTAACCTATGTTAGTTCAGTTAAGAACTAACATAGAACTAACATAGATCTGACGTTCGAATCGAAAAAAAAAAAGGTCCTAAATTTATTTCAGGAAAATTTGAAAATTTTATAGATGAAATTGCAAAATAAAACTTGTAGGAGGATAATGTGGTGTACCTTCACATCTATGAAAATTTTGAGAAAATCAAACCAAAATAGTGGTCCAGCAACAAGGCAACAAAGGAGCTAGGTTAAAAGGGGGTGAAGATGTTCGAGGAAGACAAAGGAGAAAATGAGTAATAAGTCTTGAATTTAAGTCTAATATTTAAGGTTTTAAACGGCTTGCCTGTCAGTAAGTCTCACACGTAACATCAAGAACTTAGGGTCTTAAAATAGACTACACAAGTTGCAAAAAAAAATTTTGGAGGTTTGTTAGGGCATCATGCATCAATTAATTCAAGTCCAGCATGTGTCGATTTCAGACCATCAACATTCTCATTATTTCATTTCGTGCAACCTCTTCACTCTAAACTTCACTCATAGATGGTCTCTATAACAACCATCAACATCAGCCCCTCAAAATCCACTGACCCTCCTCATGTAGCTCCAAATTACCCGCCTCTACCACCGCGGCCTCCCAAAATTGTCACACGTCATTCTCCAAACCCAAATGTTAGTAGCCAATACTACCCTCGCCGACTGAACACATTCACCTTCTAACCTAAGCAAGCAACCTCCAAGCCTCCCTAACTACCACATCTACTTAAAGTTGCCCTCATCTCCTAGCTTGTGTGAAAGTTCAACCAATGAAGCTAGGTAAAAGTTTGTTTAGTATAAACTAGGTTTAAACAAGGGTTATACCTTTCTTTGTTCAAAAAATATTTTGGAGGTTATTATGTCCAAATAAAATATAAGTGAGAGATTTGTCTATTGAGATGCATTTACTAGAGATAAAAAAATCAAATTCCTCAACATATTTAAAAGTATTGTACAAAATTCAAATATTATGAATTTATTTTCAATTATCATGTTTGTAAACATCATAAGTATTTTCATCATTAAAACTACATATTATTACTATATATATTAATAATATTATTAAATAATTTAAATTAATATTTTAATTTTAATTTTATTCATAAGTTCACAATTTTAATTATTATTTTTAATACTTGTTAAAACAATAAATCTAATATTCATTATTAACAACTAATCATGCTTTTTTTCATTCAACAAATTAACATTATTTCTCTTATATTTTTTTCAATCATTTTTTTTTTTCAATCATTTTTTTTTTCATAGCAATCCCAAAAACAAAATTAGTAATAAGTTCATGAAACAATCATCCACTCGACAGCTCCACACAACAAAATAGTAAAGCATTATTGTCAAATAGTGCCAAATGTTGAAATTTTTTAGTAATAGCCCCTAAAAGAAAGCATAGAAAATTATGTTTTATTATTTGAATTTAGGTGCGGCATCATCTCAAAGGTACATTAAGTACCCAAATTTTGAAATAATAAAATTAAGAGAAATGCCATAGTATATTAAAAATTACACAAAATTCATTCCATGTTATTATTTGATTAAATAGACCAACAAAAAATTTCTCTAAATAAAACTATATGGCTTCCTTATTTTAATTGAACTACCTAAAAAATGTACTTCAAAAAAAAATTTATCTATTTTTTTTTGAAGAAAGTAACAATATTCAAAGATTAATGCTAATAAGGCTTGAATTAGAGGTGTAAACAAGCTAAGCAAACTTGAGTTTCTCTTGACTAGAGCTTGAAATTGATTAATTAATCGAGTTCGATTTCCAAGTAAAAGCTTTATTCTACGAGTTAGAGGCAGTTTAATTATGAGCTAGCTTGTTTATAATGAAAGAGAGAAAATGATTATGATTCATGCAATTATTATTATAATAAAACATTAAAATGAATATGAAAGTAGAAGAAAAGTAATAAAAATCACTTAATTTAAGAAAATAAAATATAAATTTTAAATTTTTTTAACAACCTTGTACTTAAAATCTTAAATGCTAATATATCTTAAGTGTATTTTATATTAATTAAAAAAAATGCTCGGGAGCTAACTAGTTTAGTTAAGGCTGGTTAGTTAACTCATCAAGCTAAGCTTGTAAGCCATTCAACGAGCCTAGCTAAGCTGACTCACCACTCAACTTGACTCACAAGTAGGGGTGTAAATGAGTCTAGTCGAGTCAGGTCTAGTATTTGCCTAAATGAGCTAAGAGCTCTAGCTCGACTCGAGCTCATTTACTAAGTTTGAGCTCAACTCATTAAAAAATATATAGGTTTGAGCTCAATTGGAAAGATCAAGCTTAACTCATGATTCTTGAGCTTGATTTTCATATTTTTTTTAATTTTACTTTTAATATAGAATTAATTTAAAAGGTTAAAATATATTATATAATACGAATTTAAATTATTGTCTAAATATATTTTAAATTAATCTAACAACTTAACAAGCTAAAGATGTCGAGCCAGGTTGAGCTTAAGCTTGTTTAATATACGAGCTCGACTATAAACTCGAATTCAAATTTGTTACTCAATCAATTCAACTCATGAGCTAGCCAATGAGTTAAGCTCGAGTCAACTCGGCTCACCTAACCCCTACTCACGAGAAATTATTCTGTGCAGAGACCATCGGATGCAGAACGCCATCCGGAAATCAACCGGAATGCGCCACGTCAACGGTAGCAATATCGAGTTGCGGTATCAAATATAGGAATGACATGGTGCATTCTGATTGATCTTCGAACGACTTTCAGCCCAGAATAATTAATCCCTAATTACACCCATCACCATTGTGCCGACGTGATTGCCACTAATTCATTCATTTGCGAAAATTTGGCAAATTTTATATTTTACTTCCCGCCCATCAAAGCTGCATTAAGTAGTAGTGTTCATCATGGATCCAAGTCATGCCCTGTCACCTCCACGTACAAAAAGAGCAAAATAATATTCAGAGAAATATTACAAAAAAAGCCTAACGAAGAATTAACGAGCAAAACTGAATAAATTATAAAATTACAAACAAATACTATTTTTACAAATATTTCTTACATAAAATCACTATAAAGAATTAAAAAAAAAACTGCTAGAGAGAGAGAGAGAGAGGGTGGGGGACTAAGGAAAGAGACAAGAAAGGTAGAAGCGCTCGAAATAGGGCATGGCGTATTTAATTGCCATCTCCGTCCTCGAAAATCACTCGCTCCAGTTTCCTATTACGCTCTTCGGCGCTCCGTTGCTCCGCGCTGCTTCTCGCTGTTTTCGATTCTCTTCTATAACATACTCATACTTCTTCCCTCTCTCTCTCGCTCTCTCTCTCTAGTCGACTCCATTTGTGGCCCGCTTGCCTTGATTTGGGCTAAAGGAGGGGTTTTGAGTGGAACGCAGTGGGAGGGGGAGCAGAGAGGAGGGTGTGAGAGATGAAGTACGTGTTGGTGACAGGGGGAGTGGTGAGCGGGTTGGGGAAGGGGGTGACAGCGAGCAGCATTGGGGTGGTGCTCAAGGCCTGCGGTCTCCGTGTTACCTCTATCAAGATTGGTATGTAGCCGACTACTTCCTTTGGAGATCTAATCCGGCAATCTTCTTTGGCGTTGTGATTTTTTTCTTTTGATCGTTTTAGGGCGATTTAAGGGATTTTTATTGTAAGACTAGTCGTTTGATGGGCAATTTGATGGATCTTTCCTGTGAAACAGGAAGCCGAGTTTAAATTTTTGAAAGGACAGATTAGATCTTTTTTGCCTTTTTGTTGTGTTTTTCTTCGCGGCGTTTGATCTTAGGAATAGACGTGTATCACGAACAATTTTTCTTTTTCTTTTCCCTTTTTTTCAAACAAAGACTGCGGAAAGTTTACTGTAATTATATGATTTTCTTCCTCGTTCGATTTGCTTACACGAGGCGCCATGGTCAAGTGATTTCCCTTCTTTGCCTGGGTGGTGGGTTTGGATTTTTTTTTCAAATTAGAAGATTAGATATTTTTTAGTTTGCTTTTATGAGACGTTTGGAATTGTAGAGGACAGAAAGCTGCATAAAGGAGATTGCAGGTCCTATTCTTTCATCTCTCTCTCAATCTTTTCATTATAGCAGGATGGCATGTGAATGCCTTGAATAATGGTAGGTGCAGGGCCCGCCATGGCTGGGCTCCTTGTGCAGGTGTCGAGCAGAAATTATGGCCAACCCAGTTCTGGCACGACTTAGAATCTGCTTTTGTTAATTCATATTATCTACAAACCGTTTCTTCCATTCAAGGCTAAAATAAATATACTTTCATGGTGTTTCATACGTAAATAATAGTTTAAAGTTGGCTTGATCAAGGCTTATGGGCATTTAATTGAAAAAAAAAACAATAAAAAGATGGATTCAGTCCTGAATTGTCATTTAGACTAAGGCTTCGTTTGGGACGGCTTTCTTGCTGCTTTTTAAAGCAGTTAAAAAGCTGCTTTAAGAAGCAGCAAGAAAGTAGTCACAAACCAAGCCTGAGTATGTTGACGCTAGAGTGACAGTGATGATTTATTCATTAATTTGATTCAAATGAAGAGAAATTGTTAAGTGCTGACAGTGTTAAATGATTATGCACAGATCCTTACCTCAATACTGATGCCGGAACGATGTCCCCGTTTGAGCATGGAGAAGTTTTTGTTTTAGATGATGGTGGGGAGGTAAGGAACTATTTAGAGAACCTTTATCGATTATTTTATACTCTTTTGCTGCTCTGAAAATTTTGATTCTTCCTCACTTTCCTTCTTCTTTTACTCATTTTCACTTTGATATGCAATATTTTCCTTATGATATTGCCCATGGGGTCTGGTTTTTTTTGAGATACCATGCGTACAACTTTCCTGAATCTTGCTGGGAGATTCACTTTATTGACTTTTAGTTTTTGCATGGGCTTGTGGCTCAAAGAAACTAATTTTTATTCTGTGCGGAGTCCGGACGTCGTCCAGAGACCAACAAAAATACTCCACGTCACCTCAAAAGTGTACCGACGCTCGGTACCGAGCATGGTGCCGACGCTCAGTACCAAACGGTACCAGACTGTTCTCCCGTCCGGTGTCCGCACAGAATAATCTCTCCAAAGAAACTTCACCTGCTGTGTTCTCATCCAAATTTTCCCAACAAGTTGGAAAAGTCTCTTTTGTTGCTTGTTATACCTTTCTGATATGTGCGTTTTTGTTTTTGAAAGGTGGATTTGGATCTCGGTAACTATGAAAGATTCCTTGACATCAAACTAACCCGTGACAATAACATTACCACAGGAAAGATTTACCAGGTATAGGTTTTCATGTTTTAAATTCATAAGGAACGCATCATTGATAGTACTTTTAACAAAGTTATTAGTCAGCAAACTTTTATTTAAATTATTTTGCTTTCATATTCTTATTTAGTTGTTTATCTTCTTTCCCTTTTTTTTACCTTTTGTTGAGGATAGTATGTCATTGATAAAGAGAGAAGGGGCGATTATTTGGGGAAAACTGTTCAGGTGTGTTACTGTTCTCCATATAGCACCATTGATGAATCTTCTTCGAGTAGTTTCTATTTTGGTATTGAAAGTGTCACTCTTAGGTTGTTCCACACATTACGGACGCCATACAAGAGTGGATTGAACGGGTAGCCATTGTTCCTGTTGATGGAAAAGAAGGGCCTGCTGATGTCTGTGTTATAGAACTTGGTGGAACCATAGGTGATGAAAAGTTTCAACAGTGATTGTTATGTGGTTTAAACGAGATGTATAAAAAGACAAGACACTGGCCTTCTGTTTAACTATTAAGTCTTCTGCTTTATAAATTTGCTTGCTTGTGCCATAACAAAGATGGAATTCTCGATGCAGGAGATATTGAATCCATGCCATTTATTGAAGCTCTTGGCCAGTTTTCTTATCGCGTAGGTGAGGACATTTAGGAGAATTGCTGATAGTCCTATTCTAGACTTTTGGTTTCTTGCTCTTCATTCACTCTGATACTTTCTTTTAATATGGCTTGCCTCAGGTCCCGGTAACTTCTGCCTTATACATGTTAGTCTTGTGCCAGTTCTAAATGTAGTTGGTGAGCAGGTGAACATCTTTTCCATTTGTTCCTGCTTCTTAGTATTTTCTTTCATGGTAGTGTACTTTTTCTTTTATTTCAGTAGAGTTGATAGTTGATCCTTCTTGTGGGATGTAACACTTGTGTTTTACACCCGATTGTTTGATACAACAACAACAACATCATGAAGCCTTTGTCCCACTACGTGGGGTCGGCTACATGAATCCTTTTTCGCCATTGTGTCCTGTTAAAAGTCAAATTCTCATTTAAATTTAATAAAGAAAGATCATTTCTAATATTTTCTAATCTTTTTAGGTCTACCTCATTCCGATTGCTTGATTTTCATTCTTAATTGCAGAAAACTAAACCAACACAACATAGCGTTCGGGGACTAAGAGGACTTGGATTGACTCCAAATATTCTTGCTTGCCGGAGTGCATCGGTCTCTTTTTTTTTCCTTTTGGTCTTCTTTTTTAGCTCCATTTGCTACCTGAAGTGTCAGTACTTCTTTACTAATTTGTTGTATTTGTTTTTTGGCAGCCTTTGGATGAAAATGTGAAAGAAAAGCTTTCACAATTTTGTCATGTTCCGGTATTGCAACCAAACTCCTGATGCTTCTCATTATATGATTCCAGAAAGAACATGAAAAAATTTTATTTGATATTGATTTTTTTGCTAATGATTTTGCAGATTGCGAATATTGTGACTCTTTATGATGTTCCAAACATTTGGCATATACCCTTACTTCTAAGGGTAGGCTATATCTCTCAAAATTTTATTTGGAAATTTTCTTTACTTTTTATCTGGCTGGGTATCTTACTGGTCATCGCAAATCTTATTTAAGTTCTACATGAAATTTTGTGTTTTTATAGGATCAGAAGGCCCATAATGCTATCTTGAGAGCTCTGAACCTCCAAAGGTCTGTTTTTTATCTAATGATCCCAAATTCTTAATAGCAATCTATGGTGGTAGTTTATAAAAGTATGGATTCTAAATTTGTTTTTATATATATACAGCAATATGAGGGAGCCCATGCTGAAGGAATGGACTTCCATGGTTAAAGTCAGCGACAGTTTACGTGATCCTGTAGGTTTTAACCTATCATTATATACTAAAGCAACCTTTTGTGCTTCACAACTTTTCATATTATTACTAGAACTGGAACTGGCCAATAATTTCAGGTTAGGATTGCCATGGTTGGAAAATATACTGGTCTTTCTGACTCGTACCTCTCTGTATTAAAGGTATACTCTTTACTGCTAGTCTTGTTTATCTAAATTTATGTATATTTGAAATTTCCCAGTGTAAAACTAAGCACTTTCATGCCCTAAAGGTTTAATTATATGGCACCCACATGAATTCTTATAAATTTTAGCAAAGGTGTTAATAACTGACTCACATGAACAAATTTCAGGCCCTCCTTCATGCTGCTGTTTACTGTGGAAAGAAACTCATTGTTGACTGGGTTACTTCCACAGACCTTGAAGATAACACTGCCCAAGAGGTTTGCTAATTGATTTATCTCTTCTTGTTTGAGTTTCTCCTTTTTATTCATATCCGAAGGATAAAGTTCCCTGACAACCTTGTTCAGGAACCTCTTGTTCATGATGCAGCATGGAATTTACTGAAGGTAACTTTCTTTTACTTATTTAACCTCTTAATTATGTTGATTTCTTATTATGTGCAGAGACCGGATGCAAAATGCCGTTCGGAGACTAACCAGAATGTGTCACGTTAGCGGTACCAAGCCGCGGTACCGAGTGTAGGGGTGACGTGACGCATTCTGGTTGGTCTCTAGACGGCGTTCGGCGTCCGTACAGAATAATTAATTCTTTTGGCATCCTTGTTGTCTTTCTAATCTCATAAATTGATAAATTTATTATGCAGGGTGCAGATGGTATACTAGTTCCTGGAGGTTTTGGTGATAGAGGCGTCCAAGGGAAAATTCTTGCAGCAAAATATGCTCGAGAGAAGAATAAACCCTATCTTGGCATTTGTCTTGGCATGCAAATTGCAGTGATTGAATTTGCTCGGAATGTCTTAAATTTACAAGATGCTAATAGCACGGAATTTGATCCTAACACTAAGAACCCTTGTGTGATATTTATGCCAGAGGTGGAACTTATTCCTCATTTCCTTCCCATTCCCCTTTCCCGTTTCTAACTACTGAGAAAACTGTCTTTTTGTTCTTTGGCTTATGACTTTCTTTCTTAGGGTTCCAAAACACATATGGGAGGAACAATGAGACTTGGATCTAGGAGAACTTACTTCCAGGTTAAAGATTGCAAATCTGCTAAGCTGTGAGGACATTACGTTATTTGTGATTTATCCTGTGAATGATTTTACTTGATTATTTCATGAGACCTGATTTATTGTTTTAAAATTTTTTTTAACAGGTATAGAAATGTGGCATATGTGGATGAAAGGCACAGGCATAGATATGAGGTAAGTCTCATAATAGTATTCTCTGAACAGGGATGTTTCCATTATATATCATCGTATTAAAGTGTATTTGATGACTCTGTACGTGAAGCTAGATTGTAGAAGGGGAGATTATTCTGTGTGGACTCCGAATGTAGAGGATCATCTAGATGATGCGTATGGACTATGTATGAATTGAGTATGGACTGCTTATGGACTACGTATTTACTGCTTATTTGTAGATATGCAGAAAATACTCACTAAATACTCAGTTAATACTCACAACTAATGATTGGCTAAGTATTTGCTGTATATCTACAAATACGCAGTAAATATGCAATCCATACTTAGTTCATACGCAGCATCCGGACGATCCTCTACGTTCGGAATCCGCACAGAATAATTTTCCTTGTTGAAGACTATTCACATTGTATCTCGTTATAGATAGGCTGTCAGACTAGTTATGCACAGCATTAACACCTGCATGCGCTACCTGGGTTCTCAATTAATATTGAGCTTTCCTACAATAAATAAGAGCCATTCAGATTGTGTGACTTGTATGGATAAGCAGTCTATGCATGCATATTTTGTGCTTTTAACAGTCAGATTCATGACTTGATGTTGTGCGATTATTTGGGAGGAGATCACGAAGAACCAAAGTTGCAGGCTAGAGTAATGAAAATTCTGTTAAGAAATGAAGAGTGGTTTCTACATGCTCTATCATTTATACCTTAAAAGAAACTGAATGGAACATCAGTGCTAGGGTTGTTGAGCCGTCCTGTTTATAGCATATTTAGATCTTTTAATGAAGTCTAAAAGGCTCAAATTTTAAAACTGAGAGCTGAAGGAAATATTAAGTGGCTAGTTGAGAACCTGGTATGCGGATCCAACTTTAGCTGCTTCTGGATCAACAGGAAGCAAATTTCAAGGACAGTGCAATTGTAGTAGCAAATTTACATTATTTTTATGGGAGAATTACATGCATGCCATTAAAATCATGCATATTAACAAATTAGCATCTAAATTGGCTATAAACTGCTAAAATCTTGTATTTGTGTGTGCTGCAACTAAATCATTGAAATTTTGATGAAAGCCAAAAGTATATTGGGGTTTGTGAAATTCAATATTCAAGTGGGAATTTGATGAATGGAGGTAGGGGGATTTTCTTATTTTTTGTAAATCATCAAAATTTTGAGTGTTATGTATTAAATTGTCCCATTTTATATATTTTGTATGGCATCCTTTTGTTTGATCATGTAAAACATTGTTTTTAATTGCAGGTAAATCCTGATTTGGTTATGAAACTTGAAAGGTCTGGACTTGCTTTTGTTGGGAAGGATGAAAGTGGTAAACGTATGGAGGTATGGATCATTCAAACTCCTTTTTATGTCATTAAATTCCAAATATATTTTCAGAGCTTTGTTTTTAGAGGCTCTACATTGTTATCATTACAGATTGTTGAGCTGCCTACACATCCTTATTATGTTGGTGTCCAGTTCCATCCAGAGTTCAAGTCTAGACCTGGAAAACCCTCTGCTGTTTTCGTAGGTATGACTTTCAATTGATCTTGAACATTGAATGAAGTGTTATGCTTCTTTCATCCTTTCTTGAGGGAGTTCATAGGACTTCATTTCTTGTATCACCCTTCATAGCCTTAAAAAAGTGCAATTTGATTATTTAAACCAGTCTGATTTAATCTCACCTTGCCTGTTGAAGGATTAAAAATGAACTTTTCATTCTAATTTTGTAAGGAGATGCACACTACTAAATTTGTGTCTTTAGGCTCTTGATATTTAAGAGATGATTGCATTTACTTGGTGGAATTCACTGCTTAATATATCTATATGATGATTTGATAATGTAAACTTGGCAAGAACATTTCACATTGCACTTGGTTCATTTCTTTTATGTGGCTTTTTTATGGTAGCATGCCGTTGAACACTTACACATCCAGAATTTTGTCTTAATTAGCTAGTGAGGCAATGTTGCCAGTTACGGGTCGGGTCGGGTTCGACCCGTAACCCGAAATTGACAGGTCTAAGTGGATAATGTGAACTGATGTCACCAACGGTCCCAAGATTTGCTCTAATACCAATTTAATAGGAAATACTTGAATATTTCAAGTAAACCCTAACAAGATTGATAAAAACATAGGAAAAAACTCAACAATTCCAATGAAAACAATAAAAAATAATAGATTTTATTGTAAAAATCAAATCAACAAAAGGAAACAAAGCAAAGATAAAATTGATCCTCAATTCGAGAGGAGGATTGTTCTCTCCCAATCTCTGGAGCCCAAGATACCAAAAATAAACTCCAAGAGAACACAATAATCAAGTCTAACCCTAACCCTAAACAACTCTTCATATTAATACAGACTTCCCTTTTTTTTTCAAGAAAAAAAATACTTCCCTAATTTTTTAAATTTTATCTCAAAATTAGTGTAAAAAAAAATACTTCCCTAGTTTCAAATACCAAATTCAAGTTTTTCCTCCTCCCACCCACTACTTTCCCCATTGACTTTCCTAGTGGGCCCACTAGGCTTGGGCGGCAAACCCCCAAAGGGGGCTGTTTGGTCCGTCGCCTATAACAAAGAAAGGGCCCTGGCCCTTGCAGGGCCGGTTCAGCTTGAACCAGCCTAACATACTGTTGAAGCATGATAGCAATAGCAAGATTGTTTAGTTCTGCAGGAAATCATCTTTTGCTTCAGAGGGTCCTTGGAATCAATGCTTAAAATAAATATTTACTTAAGTTTACTAACACTTTTTCCCAAAAAAAAAAAGTTTACTAACACCTAACATAAGAAAGAAGTCAGTGTTTTGTGCTACACTGATCTTCCAGTTAGCTTCAGCTTCTTCTTGATCAAGTCCACATTACCATAAAATCATGAAATTGTAAAATAGTTTTTCTCCAATGCAGCTTGGCGCTTGCATTTTTCATCTCGAATTCATTACAATCACTCATTTTATGGCATTTTCTTCCATTATCATACTTCAGGTTTAATAGCTGCTTCTTGCGGGCAACTGGATGCGATCCTGAAATCTCATGGCGGCGACAATTTGCAGCCAACAAAGCAGGTTACAAGACCAATTTTTCCTGCACAAATGATCTATGTGAATGGACATGTACCGAAGCGCCTGCCAAATGAGAATGGACATGTACCGAAGCGCCTGCCAAATGGAACATATTATGCGAATGGCAACGGCGTTCACGCGTAACTTGATTCAGCTGACCTCAGTTGTTTGGTTTTGGATTCATTATGTTCGTATATACACAATTTGATTGGTTAAAAGCTTCAGTTGCAGGTGATAGCAGCAACTAATAGCCATAGCTGGCAATGGAGCTTGTTCCAGGTTTTTTTTTAACAAGGAACAGCCTATTTATTTTTGGCGCAAACAGACATTGATGTTGTGATACTTTTTTTTTTCTTTCTTTCTTTTGTAATGGTAGCTTTTTCCAATCTTTTATTTTTATTTGAGTAGCAATTGAAGCCTTATCTGTAAATTAATTCTGGCAGCTGAGTTACATGTAACGCTTGTTAGTTTCAATCCATGTTTTGCTTGTAAGTGTGACCAATCACTGGTGTATAATGCTTCCAAATTGCCCTCAAAGCACCTTAGCTATGTCCTAGCTACTGATAATACTTGATTTTATCAGACTTTTGTCAAATGTTTGCAGCAGATTTCATTCCAAAATTCCAGGAAATTTTTGTGCCTCTGGAAGTTTCTATGGTTGACATTGTAAATAAATACATTTTAATATCAACTGTTATTGGTGTATTGGTATTCTATATGAAATATGAATCTACCTGTAATGGTGTTGTATTGTATGAAGCCAAACTATTTTACTTATAATTGGATGAATTGGTTATTCAGTAAATATGTTCCTTCTGCTATTTAATGAGCAAATCAACACAAATTTTGGATGGAAGATGTAGAAATCTATATATCTCAATAATCTATACAAATTCACTTGTCTACAATAAATATTAGATCTTCAATAAATCTATTGTGAGGATTGTTCTAGTGTTCTCATATGAAGATGGTCATGTAGAATAATATTTTGAGATCAAGGCTGACACTTGATGTACGGCTACTAGGAATATTTAGGGGTGTCAATATTTGACCCGACGGGTCAATCCAAATTGGGTCGGATTTGGGTTAGAAATTTCGACTCGTTTGTAAAATTGGGTCGGGTTCGGGTTGATCGGGAAACTCAAAATCAACGCGGTTTGACCCTTTTTAATTACTTTAGGAGGGTTTTAATGATTTTTTATGAAATAAGTAAATGATATTTTAAAAAAATATAAACATTATTGCCCAAATTAAATTAATCTTGATTTATTTTAAATTAATTAAAGTAAATATTATCTTAATTTGATTTAGATTTAAATAAATTGAATTAAATAAAAAAATTAATAAAGTATATCCGAATCGGGTCGGGTTGAATAGTGTCGGGAATTTTGGGTTGGACCCGAACCTGACCTATGACCCGATTTTAATAGCCCTAGGAACATCTTCATGCCATGAAGTACCATGAAATTTACCCAGCAACGCAAAAAAATGATGTTTGCATGAAGATTTTTGTTATGTTGATAGCCATTGCCCAACAGCTCCTGCGATCAATTGCTACTCTGTTGATGATTGTCATTATCATCATACAAGCTAATTTATTTAATATTCAAAAAATATATAAAAGATGCAAAAATATTTAATTCCAAATTGAACACAAATAAAATAAATTTAAAATTAAAAAATCACCACAAACAGCTGCTTAAGTAATTAAGTTTAAATGTTTCTTGCTGGGTCTTATTTTTACTAATGAAGCCAAAATTGAGTTGATAAAGTAATAAATACATAGTGAAGCAAGTTTCTTAAAAGAAAAAAATGTCTACACATTTAGAGAGAGAGAGAGAGAAGCACGACCAAATACAAAAATCAACTTGTTTTGACAGCCAAATTATAATAGTGTATCAAATATTGGTACATCCACCAGCAATCCATTACTCCAATGCTACTTCAATATTGAAAAAAGAAAATAATAAGTTCTTACATCTAAAACCATGTAAGGTTGTATAAACCACACACATCTATCTACTTTTTTCAGTAGTAGTTGATGTATGTAAAAAAATTTCAGCCAATAACACCACGTATTAAAATATTCATTTCACGACTATTCGACAAATGTTATACTAGTTGTAGACTATCTAAAACAATCTTTTATTTTTCTCATTCAGAATTTGGGACCTGACAAAAACAATGTTTACATGCAAAACCACAGCCGTTGAAATTGCAGAGCTAACAAACCAATCTTCCCTCTCTAAACAATTTGATTACCAAAGTCTGAACCTACGCTGTCATAAAAATAAATTTGCAACAAACAAGAATAAACTAATGAAAACATATAACTTACATCCAGCATTGATCATGTTCTTCATCTCACATAAAACAAATTCCAGCTGAAGACTTTACTTGCTGCATCAATCCTTAGTTTGTAGACCTATGACTTGTTCAGAAACTTGTAACTAAGGTTTCGTTTGGGACGATTTTCTTCTTGCTTTTTAAAACGGCTTCATAGTACAAAAATTTCTTGAATTTGAATTTTTTGTACTAGAAAGCCGTTTTAAAAAGCATTACGAAAGCTGTCCCAAACAAAGCCTAAGTCAGCAATGTTAGTGATCTTGATCTCACTGAACAGCTACTCCAGGGTAAGACTTCCCTTTATATCAACAGAAAACGAGATTCAATATGGAGCCCTAGACTTTAGTAACCTACAGCCATACAAGAAAATTAGCTCCAAGACAATAAAAGAATTAAGGGCAATCATGCTGAGGGATAAGAAATTGAATATATGCAAAGGCCAAAAAAAGAACTTACAGAATAGTATGTGAAGTAAATGATTCTGGATAAGGCAATAACTGAAAGGATGGTCCCAGCAATGAGGGTAACTTTTGCAGCCCTGCGTCGCTTCCTTGGGTTTAGCCAGGTTATGTAATAAAGAGCAGTCTCTAGAATATATTCACCATCAAGAAAGAAGACCTGTTGGGTCAATCTATTAGAGATTCTCTAAGTATTGCAATTAGGGTTTGTTTCACCACTTCTAGACAGAAACAAGATAAAAGAATGATAATTTTATTTTTCGCTTGTTTTTTTGTGTGAAAACGAAATCATTAGACCACCCAATAATCAGGTTTATGTGATGTCTACCAATCCAGTTTAATTAAATTTATCTTTTAGTTCTACAATATTTTCTTATCTCATAACACTATTGAAGTATTCTCTATTTTAACAACCTAATTTTAAATCAAGAAGCTATATTCCGGTCCAATAAGGTATGGTAGATTTATGATAATTCGTCACTTAGTTACTTTACCTAATGCTATGCACTTTAATATAACATCTCAAAATATTCTATTTCATATAATCAGATTTTATCCTACAAATTCTAAATCTTTAATCTTTTAAATATGTCATCTATCATTTTAATTTTTTGCTTATTTCAGCAATGAAGACACCAAATAGAACAATCATGTACATGTTCAAACCCAGGTTAGTTTGCGTTAAAATTCAACCTAATGATGAAATCTGGCAAATTTGATTGCTTTTAAAAATGTGTTTTATATCTATAAGCAAACAAATGGGTCTTTAGATCATCTTCAACCGAACGTCTAACACTCGTTTGGCATCCGTCATTTGCTCCAGTCGTTTGTCAAAAAAATGGTTTTTAAAAAAAAAAAAAAAAAACGTCATTCACGTGAGGTTGAATAGTGCAACGCCTCTTTTCAAAAAAAAAAAGAATAGTGCAACGCCAATGAACAGTGTGATGCCAGCGTCGCACTGTTCACACGCTATTTTTTTTAAATGCGAAAATTAGGTTAAATAAAGTATGAGAAAGAATATAAACATAATATTCTTTTTTTATATTAGAAAATGAAGTTCAGTTGGAGACGAATTACTGTATTTTGGAGTATTATTGTATTTTGGAGTGAAAATTGAGTTTTTCGGATGGAGATGGCCTTAGTTCAAAGTGTTCTTTTATTTATTTTTTTTTACGAGGCAAAGAGCTACATGATGTTGCATGACAAAACTTCTTACGAATCGGACATTATAAGCCAGACTCCTTGCCTCACTTACATGAAACAACCAACCAATTGGTTTAGTGGCATTACCTATGGGAGCACTATGGTTCAAATATTATTAAAAAATTACATAAAACTAGTAATGTCAACATATCATTGGAAAAATAAAATGAGAGTCACATAACTGGATCATCTGAACTTCGATTTCAACAAACTTTCATTCAAATTAGGGGTGTCAATATTTGACACGACCCGAAAATCCGACTCAAACCCGACCCAAAAATTTTGGGTTAGGGTCAACCCGAACCTGAAACGGGTCGGATTCGGGTTCAACATTTTGACCCGTTTCAAAAATCGAGTCGGGTTCGGTTTAACCCTTTGATCCGAAATTGACCTGATTTTGACCCGAAAACCCGATTTTGACCCGGCAACCCGAGATTGACCCGTTTTTTACCCGAAAAAGAGGAGAGACACATAAACCCGATTTTGACCCGGCAACTCGAGATTGGCCCGTTTTTTACCCGAAAAAGAGTAGATAGACCCATTTTTGACCCGAAAACTAGCAATTTTTTGTTGGAAACAAGTCATTCGGGTCGTGTCGGGTTGACCAGGACCCCAAGCGAGTCTGGTTCGGGTCAGGAAAACTGACCCGTTTTCAAAAATGCGTCGGGTTCGGGTTGACCTGAATAGTGTCGGGTCAGTTTCGGGTTTGACGCGAACCCGAACCGTGACCCGAAATTGACACCCCTAATTCAAACTGAACATCTCAACGATTCAAACCCAATGACACAAAAAAATCCAATCCTACTCCAAATAAGCCCAAATCACCTACTTGAAGCCTAATTGAAAGTTTTGAAACATTAATTAGAGAACCAAACGATCTCCAAATATCACGTACTCCAAGGAAATCCACTGACCACCGTTATCCAACTATTGTACTCCAACCCTCGCTGCACAACTACAATCTTCCGAATATCATTGTCTGATCCTCCAAACACCATCACTTAACTATGCTCCTTCAACTAATGTCGTCCTACTACAAAATTCTGACAATTGCCGCCTGAGTACACTATCCTGTTCACCATTGCTCAAATATAATACTTTGATCGTTGTCATCCCACTAAAGTCTCCTAACTATTAGAGCCCAACTATATTAAAGCCCGCTAACTTCATTGCTCATCTTCACCAATAGCATTGACACACTGATGTGAAACATACATGCAAGGATGATTTAGATTAAAAAATTTGCACGCTTAATTTTAAAAACCACAATAATTATATATTTATATTGATTATAAGCGACAAAATAAAACACAGAGCGGTAAGACATTAGCCTAAATCACATGCATTGGAGTTAAGATCATAAAACAGTCAGTTTAATCTAACGTTGCATACATGATTGATTTTCAACAATAAATCTCAATGTTAACAATAAGTCCCTTAGAAAGAATCCCTCACTAAACTCTCTAACTTACTAAGCTTTAGCGGAGAGATTGGCACAAGTCTTTATGATTTAATTATATTCACAATTGAAAAGCAACTAGGAGAGTAAAAGAATCGATGGATGAGTTTACCCAAAGAAGAAGAGGATGCGAAGCTCAGGTGTAGTAGTTTAGGGCCTTGAGAAGGGGTGGACAGCAGCACAACTTTTATCAGCATTAGGATAGCAATCATGAGGAGCTCTGGAGAGTAGACAACGAACTCCCTTGGGCAGGATTCTTCGGACAGCTAGTTGCAACTTCTGGACAGCAACTTCAACATCAGGGACAGCTGTTTGACAGGTGGTGGACAGCACGTGGACTTGATCATGGGATCCTGGAGGTTCTGGACAGTAAAACAGGAAATCTGGACTGTGGGACAGCAAGGAAATTTGCTGTAGTTTCTGGACAGCAATTCATGGACGAACAGAAGCTGGACAACAGCGTTGTGAAGTCAGTTAACTCCTCTCTAGGTCACGGTCTAGGAAGAGTAGTGTTGCGGGAAAGCCTTCCAAAAGGAAAATTGAGTTTAGTCTCAGATTATGTAGCTTGTGATGGAGGGAAGGATTAAAAGAAATAAATATAGATTTATTTCAGAGTTAAAGTTAGGGATTTGAATTTTGAAATTCAAATAAGAGAGGAGGAAGGAAATAATTAAGCAAGAGGGGAAGAAGGGGCCGGCCATAAAGGAAGGGAGGAGAAGTTGTCCACATACAATGTATGTGGACCCAAGCAATAAATATGATTAGGCCATTAAATCTGATTTTGATTTCAGATTTAGAGAGATTGTGGGCTCCGAAAATTCGTCCCCGGCCTCCGCTCGCTCTTTTCTTTCGGCGAGGGAGTTTTAACTGAATAAGTTCCGAGGTAAATTTTGAAAGGCAGATGGGTTTGTAGATAAGACACTACCCAGAGATTTCGCCCTCATTTTTTGAGGACTTTATGATCTGAGTTATGGTTTCCTATAGGCGCAAGCCCCTATAGTTAATTAACTCTCCCGATAACGAGAGAGAACTTTCGATTAAGGCTAGTCGTCAATCAGATACGTAAAGATACGTGTTATCTGGCATATTGTAGCAGCAATGGGTTTGAAATTAAAAAGATTGGATATTTGGGAATTTGAAGGGTTTGAAAGTTTGGGAATTTGGAAAGATTTAATATTTAAAACAGAAATTTCATCATCTTTCACTTAAAGCGGATGGTGGGGGAATGGATGATAGACCCGATCAAGATCTCATGGTTCCATCGTCCCGGACCATCATGGTCCCTGGTCTACTTAGTCAGAGGAGGTAGTCGACCCAACCTGACAGAAGGATCCTTGTCGGCAGCCATGGGTTGCTTCGTCCAAGGGGACCTTGTAGACCTGGGGTGAATGTTTGTCTAAGGGAACAAATTTGAATCCACCTTAGCTAACAGAGGGCTTTGTGCCCTATCGATCATATCCTATTGATTCATATCTCAAGGATTTGATGTTAATAAGGAACGTATCGGCGCTGGCCATAACCGGTATTTCGTGGTGCCATTTGGCGGCAAAATCACTCGGTTCAGAGGGTCCCGGATCATAAACGTTTATCCTGCGGTGTCATTTGGCAGCGAACCGCCGGTCAGAGGACACGTACCACGTCCTTATCGGCAGGAGACTTTTTTGAGAATGGATCATAGTGATATTTTCGACTAGGCATTTGGCTCTTTGTGAGCTGAAATAATTTTTTTAATTTGTCCACCTCGACTGTTGTGGAGGGTGGATGTATTTTGCTTTAAGCGTTTGATAGTTTATTTCAATTTTAAATATTTTTGGGATTTTGGAATTTGT